GGATGAGAGGTCGACTAATACACACCTGGACGGATATGAAGGTTTTGCTAAGAGCATCTGTAGACAGTTGACGTCACTGGGAGAGGCGGGATTCTCAAGGGTCACGATTCTGAGGCCGACGATGTTCAGTGGGCAACACGAACCCGCCATGAGCGCCGTTCAGCCGTCAAATACAAGGTATTAATAACAAAAGAAAAAAGTTTTTTTTTTTACTGTCTAGTAACTGTAGTAGTTTTATTATTTTTGTTGTTATTTATTATCATTGATATCAGTTGGCTTCTAAATTTTTTTGACAACTTTAAGTATACCTAGTGTTAATAAAAGAATCCGGTTACGTTGTTGATTAGTTTGAAGTTCCTTTAATTGTTAAAAATTCTGTCAAGATATTTGTTGCTACTGTTCTCTTTATTTTCTTCCTTTTTTGTTCAAAAATTTTTGTGAATTATTTTGTTTCTTTTTTTTTCTTTTTTTTTTAATTTACTTGTTACTGGTTGAACACGTCGATATATTAAAGAATCAAAACAAATTTCTACTTCTAACGGTCTACCCATTCGGTTATTCATACACTGGTTGAGTTGTGAAAATTCAATATCAGCTGAAAACTTGAATGTGATATTGAGATGTGTTTTAAATGATAGGAAGCAATGGCTTTTAAGAAGATAACTGCTTCTTGTTACTGTTGTCGTTGTCGTCGTCTTCAATCGTTTAGAATCTGTCTGGACACCCAATTTTTTTTCCCAAACTTTTATTATAATATCTTCTGCTATTTCGAAGTTTATTTCTTCTAATTGACTTAGCTGTAATATGTTAAGTTTTTTGAACTAAAGACATTGTTACAGAGAAAAAACTTTTTTTTCTGTTCAACGCTTCTATAAAGATGATTTCCTTTTTTTAATGTTGTTTAGTGAAAATTATCTAAAAAAACTGCATAAAAGCAAAAAAATTGTAGATTTTTTTCTAAAATTTTGTTAATTTGGTACTCAAAATAAATTAAAGTGTTTATTATTAAAATTTTCAAGACAAAATATCTGTACTTCTTTCACATTGATTTTATTTATTTTTTCTCTTTCTTTCATTCCTCTTTCTTCCTCAAATAAACTACAGTGTAATTGAATAGAATTGCAAAAAATTCAAATTTTGCTATATAACGGCAGTAATGCTGACTGCTAAATTTACTGAGACCGCTAAAAGATGAAAAAGTGTCCAGTGCTTGACAAACTTTATTTTAAAAGCAGTTCTTTTTCTGTTTTATTTTGTTTATAAAATCATCAAAACAGCTGATAGGTCAATGTTTGTCTAAAAACTTTACTTTTCAGCTTTCTTTTAATGTGTGATTTTGATGAAAAGAACTTTTGTTGTTGAGCTATTTTTCTTTCTATTTTTTGGCTAATATTTTGTCCTGTAGTGAGTATGCTTTCAATTTTTTATAGATAGGTTAATTTTCTTCATAGTGCTCATTCAAAGAAAAGAGCTGAATTGTTGAAGAATCATTGATTCTTTGAAAAAAAGCTCTTCTTATAGCTGGCAGAAGAATGAAACAGCAGAGGGGATCTATTGTTTCATTACGGTTTAAATTCTCATAACTTTTGTAACAAAAAACTGATTTCACAACTTATATCTGAAAGAGAACTGGGAGAGAGGGAAAGTTTAGTGGTATTTGATTAGGTTAGGCATCGGTTACTGCCTAAGTATTCGTGTCAACTTTTTTACAGTTATTGCTGTACGTATATTGTCAGTTAATTAATTACGCAAATTATTTGTATGTTTATATATAGAAGATAAACATTTTGCTGCAAGTTTATGCTTTTTAGCTCAGATTTTTATCAATTTGGTAAAAACTTATGTAATTCTTTTTTTTTTTTACACTAGTATTCCTGAAAAACATGAAAAAAACTGTTGCTATACTTAGGTTTTTTGATCAAACAAGATTTTATTGCCTACCATTCTGCAGTAACTTTTTCTGCGCAACTTTCTAACGTATTTTCAGTTTTCGTTTCTTTTTTTTCTCTTCACAACAATCACAGCAGTGACGGGCGAAACTGCTGAGAGCCATAAAACTGTGCGTATCAGTGAAATCTGTCTACTGTATTTGAAAGAAAAATAAACTTGGTAAAAAATTTAAGAGAAAATGATACAACAGTTTTTATTTTATTTTTTCAAAGTTTCAATGTTGTTTAAAAGGTAACCCTTGTGTCTGTGGTTTTGGTGGTGGTTGTTGTGAGAGGTAAACATAGACAGAACGTTAAATAGAGTGGGAGAAGAAGATAGGGTATAGGAGATAGGAAGGAAGGGATGAACAGGAGACGGAGGGAGTTGGTTGAAAAAGGGAAAGGAGAGTAGTAAAAAAAAAATTGATGTTGAGTGTAAAAAAAAAAGTAGTTTTTCAGAAAAACACCATAAAAAGTTTGGATTTGTTTGCATTGAGCATCGGAAAAATTTTTGTTATACGGAACTGCTAAGTCGAAAAAAAAAAGCGGCGGCACGCGCGACTTCACCTCAAAATTTTTGTTTACCTTAAATGTTAAAAACACCATTTAACCTTTGAGTTATCCAACCGGAGACAAACTTCACTTCATTCATTCATTCATTCATTCGTTCATTCATTCATTCACTCAATCAATCATTCACTCATTCACTCGTTCATTGCGTTCGTTCATTCCATTTTATACTGGCAGTCCTTTTTCCCTGTTACTTGAACGATTACTCTGTGTTGACGATAGGCGCGCGTACAGATACGGACAGTGAAGCACAGAAATTTGGTGGCAGTAATGGTGTGTGTATATTTTCTCCAAAAACTTCAATCACTTCTAAATCTCTTCAGAACAGTCTCTAGTCTGATCTCGTAATGTTTACTTTCGTCGTAATACAGCTCTGTAAATCATTTTAGTACATAAAAACTTTCTTTACAAGAATACGCTTCAGCCAATGCACACAAAGATTCTCATCTACTTTTTTTTTTTTTTTTT